GGAAATGTTCCAGTACTCAGAGAAAAAGGTCAGAGCGGGGCAGCAGAGCCCAGTCCTTTGTGCTGTGTCCTCCCGGCTTGCTTTTCCAGCAGACTGCATGCTCCCCTTCGCCTCCGCCGTCCCCCATGCAGCCTCCCGGCAAGCGGCAGACCCCCAGGGCAGTGTCACCGTAAGGCCCCCCCCCCCCGGGAAGGACACCTGCTCCATTGCTCTTCCCCATCCATCCTCTCACCCCGCTCCGCAAACACGGTGCTCGCTCAGCCCCTACATGGGGAATCCCTCACCCTGAGGCCACTGGCACCCGTGCTCGCTACTTCCCTCCTGGCTCCCCCCTTTGCATTCACCCTCCAGGGAGAACCATGGTGGCATGCTGGGTGTTGGTCTCCACCATCAATCTCCTCCTGGGGGTAATGAAGAGCCTGGCGGGGGTTAGAACTGCTTAAAGTTTGGGCTGGCGGTGTTTGACGTGATGCCGACGGCACGTAGGGTTGCCGGCTCACCGCTCGTTAGAGCTGTGGCAGCGGGAGGGCGCCCGGGTCTCAGTATCAGGCAGGGGGTTATTTATTGAGGACGCGGCTCCAGGAGATGTTGTGGTGCTGGGGCCCAGCCTGAGCGAGGGGGGAAGCAGGACAAATTAATTCCAGCTTGCACTCAGTGTCTTTTCCAGGTCTCTTTATAACACAGGCAAACACTTGCATGGAATTCATATTAAACTTTATAAGGAATAAGTGAAGCTAGAGGCTGACTTTATGAAATAGTTCTTATTTTAAAAGTTGATGTAGAGGCACACTTTTAAATGCTGGCAGTGGTATGTGTGCCCTCGCTCTGCTGTCGGAGTGCCCTTCAGCGGTAATACAACCCGGCCAGGTTGTCTGGCTGCAGCCTCGTCACCCAATGCTGTTTCTGCTGTAACTCTACAATAAATCCGTCCTTAAAACCCCGTGATAACATCACTCCTTTCTCTTCCTTCTTCCTCCAGGCAGCTGAATTTTTGCATTTGTTAGCTCAGTTTAACGATATGGGTTTCCAGCAAAATGAAATCAAAGAAGTTCTTTTGCTTTGTGGGAATCAGAGGGAGAAGGCACTGGAAGAGCTCGTGATGAAAACCCAGTGACCAGCATCCTGGACCCCAGTCACAGCTTCCCCTCTCCAAACCAGACCACCGAAGGACTTGGGTGGGTCAGCAAGCACTTACCCTTCTGCTGCTCCATCCCCACCCCGCGCAGCACGGCTCACTGGACATAAACCTTCAAAGCACCGGCTTGGTGTCTTCTCTCATTTTACGGACACCCATCGTAAGCATGTTTGTCACTGTACTAAGGCAAAGGCTTTATAGCACGACTGTTTCTCTCTTCACCCCCGCATCTCCGCCCTTGATCATCTCAGCTGTTTAGATTAGATGCAATAAGATCCAAACCGCCTTCGGCTTAGATTTTGCAAAGCCCAAATCACAGTTTTCTCCCTCCACCTGGGGTGATGGGTGTCATGTTTTCAACTACAATCAAATATGGATTCTCAAAAGATTATATAAATCAACAGAAGAGATCGTTTTCATAAAAACTGAAGGCTTCTGCAGAAACATTTGTTGGTCCTTGCTTGGGAAGAGTCTCAGCTGACTTAGTCATGGTTGAATATTGTAATTGAAATCCAGTCTGATCACATTAGCTTCTCCTTTTAAATGAGAAACTTGAGAAAAATACACAATTCAGTGAGGGTGAGGAAAGAAAACAGGCTTCCCTTGCTCTAGAAATACATGAAGTTTATCCAGTGCAATGAAAAATGGCTTATGCAAGGGTTTGTGCTCGGGTAGTTTCATGAAATCAGAACAGAGAGACAGGGAACAGATTGGCTGCCCTTGTGCTCTGCCCAAATCAGGAAAATTCAGGGGATGCTTCCCTAAACTGTGGAGACAGTGGCTCCAAATGAAGTTAAGCACGAGCGTCAGGATCAGGAAAATCTAGATGCCCAGGGGAATTTTTGTATGTAACTAAAGGACGGAGAACAGGAGATACAGATTACCTTACAGGATGTGTCTCTTGGCTTGGCAGTGGAACAGTGGACAGTGTTTTCACATAAAAGTGTATTATTTTCCTGTGAATTAGATACAGATGCAATTTCTTTGAGTAAAGATGGTTGGAGGGGTTCTTCTGAAATGTATTTGTGTCTTTTCCTGTGAAAATGCCAACTGGCACAACCTAGCAGAGAAAATCCTTAATTAGTTGCATTACTACCATTTTTCCATTGTATCCTTCCAAACGATCTCCCAGCCCAACGTACTGCCATCGAATTAAAACACCATGTCCCTTCTCCCTGTATCTCTAGGTAGGTGCCAAACACCATCAGGAGGGTACAGCCCTCCATGGCTGCCTTCATCCTTGCCTAGATGCAACAAGGAAACTTGGCATCCAGGTTTTGGGGGATTTGACCTATCCATACCCAAGGATGCTTTATACCTGCTCTTCTTTAATGGCACCTTGTATGGCCAAGGGAGATATTCATGGGGAGCTCACAGGCTCTCCTTGGAGCTCCCAGCCCTGTTTTTCCTCTAGCTTTCCCTTGGTTATACAAGCTTTTATTTTTGATACGGCCCTTATAAGGCAAGTCCATTCTACACACAGCTTGTCGTTACATTCATCCTTGCCAAGATGATGTCACCTTAAAAAAGAAACTTGCAAAAGGTTAAACTGTGATTAGATAGATCGCTTCGCCTCGAACTGTAATCTTTGGCGGAGTAAACACCATGAAGATTGAAAGGGGAAGATAACGGTGCCGTGCTGGTGCCAGTAATGTGTAACACTGAGGGCTAAATTCTGGTGGAGCGAAGCACACTTGCAGTGTCGTGCCCACTCACCGTGCAAAGGCTGAGCAGCCTCTCGCTCTCGTTAGAGATTTGCTTGGTCCGGGCTCATCATTTTTTCCCCTGCTTGCAGAGGTAAGAACTGTATCTTTTTTCCTCCCTGTGCACCTAAAATTACCTTGTGTTACTTTCTGTACTGTGGTCCGGATTCATGGATGCAACAAACTACTCCTCTCTTGGGAGCATCCATGCCATACTCAAACAGTGCCTGCCAAGACCTGCTCTTTCCCCCCGGTGCTACACTTAAAAATCTTAAAACCTTTTGGATTTTGTTGGCAAATATCTTTGTAAAGTCCTGAACTGTCAAACAAACAGCGTGTGAAGGTGAGGAGAGAGGTTGTATCGCTTGGTGGTGTCAGAGCTGGAGGGAAGGGGAGAGCCTGCCACGTTCAGCTGTCCCGGGTTAGCCACAGGAGCCTGTCATAAATATTTTAGTAACAGAATTATTTTAACTTTATTTTAATGGAGGGTTTAAGCTGTTTGTTCAACTTAAAATGGTTTTAAAGCAGTGTGCTTCCATGTGCTGCTTTCAGTTAGAAGATGGCGCGAAATGTTAATTGGCTTTGTCTAAGAAGGGAACAAGGATTTGACTTGATGGGCTTTCTGCTAACGGTCCGCCTGAGGATAGTAACGCCGCTCCAGTGTCCCCTGCCTCTCCCAGGCCACCATCAGACCGGCACCTCCACCAGCTGCGGCCCCCATCCTGGGGGTGACAGTGGGGTGGTGGCCTGGCCTGGTGGCAGAGGGCACGTGGGGACAAGGCTCATCAAGAGGGTTTCAAACCGGATATGGATGCGAGCTGGGGTTTTCTTGTTTGTTTTTGTTTGTGGTTGTGTTGTGCGGGGTTTTTTTTTCAAATGTGGTAACTGTTTTGAAAATGCTGAGAACTTGGCGAGGGTCAGCAGCGGAGGTATTTGAGGCATCCCAGCTGGTATTCCCTTCCACTCTGTCTCGGCCAGGATGGCACAGGCAGCCCGAAGCCTGCACCATGGGCAGGAACCGGCTGGGCCATAGTCTGGGTTTACTGCTGTCCTGGTCCCCACAGGTCTCCCAGCAGCGCAGTCGCGAAGGGGAGCTCTGCATTCTCCAACCATCCCCAGAGCTGGTGTTGAGGGCTATCAACCTTCAATACCGGGTGGTGGTATCTCATGAGAACAGCTCGTCTCGTTATGCAGCTCTGCTAATGGAGAAGAACTCTGCAAGCCTGACATTGCCATGCAATGGTGGTGCTTTCTCCCTTCCTTCCCTTTTTGCACCCTCTGTTTTCCAAGGTTTGCCGTGTCCTAAAAAGACCCTGTCTTGGCTCAGATGAGCCTCTGATGAGTGCCAGCACTTGCCACCCTGTTGGGTCTGTGCTGGGGCTTGGCAGACAAGCCTGGAGGAGACAATAGCTAGCTAATGCATTTGGGGGGTGACAGATCGTTCCCAGGTCCCAGAAACCCCTCGGTGCATTAAGCAACCGGTGCCCAGGAGATGCTTTCCTTCACCCCCCCACCTTCCCTCCTCCCAGGACCCCGCTGTGGCCAGCAGCAGCCATGAAGATCTCCCCGGGGAGCGCAGGGCTGTGTGGGAACTGCGCTCCCACGTACAGCTCTGAAACAGAGCCGCAGCTGAAAAAGCATTCAGCGGGTAGGAGCAAGCCTTGACGTGGATCCCCGTTAGGAGGTATTTTCCTTCAGAAGTGGGGGAAAATAAAAAAAACAAACCCAAGAGTAATGAAAACCACAGGTTTTTTTATAGCTTTCCTTTTAATTCCAGGATATAATGAATGATTTCCCATCAGAGCAGAGAGGAGGTGGGATGCTGCACACCTTCAGAGTGTGGTCAAAATAAATATGACCTGTGTTTGCATCGCTTTGGTACCTGTCCCCTGAGGAAGCCACGAAGCCCTGTGCGCAGTTGGCTCGTGAGCCCACGCCTGGTAGGACTTTGCGCACAGCCTGTGCAGTGCAGGCAGAGGCAGGCAGCAGCTGCCTGCAGCCCCTTTCCGTCTGGCAGGGTCTAGTGTCACCTCCAAGGTCCAACGTGACGCATTCCTGGAACTGGGCAAGGCTTTGCGGAGGAGGAGAGGAGCCCGGGGGACTGGCGGGTGCAGAGCTGAGGCCACGTGCAAGGAGAGCATCCCAACACGGGCAGGGGCCACCTACGTTGCGACATCGTGGTCACGCCTCGGCAGCCGCAAGAGGAAGGTCTGCAGGGAGCCGCTGCGTGGAAAACCTGCCCGCTCCTTCTTGAGCCTCCAGGTCTCCTCTTCCACAGAGTAGAGGAGGGTCAGCATCTTGTTGACAGTGTAGACGGTGTCACCCCTGATGACAGCGGTGAAGAGGGCTCCTTTGCTGTTCAGGAACTGCCCAGGCAGGGCGGTCCATTGCCGCGACGTCAGGTTGAAGCAGTCGATGACGCAACGCAAGAAGTCATCCGAGGGGCCGTTGCGCATGACGTAGAGGTTGTCGCGGTGGGCCACCATGCAGTGCCCATAGCTCTGGTGCCGCTTGAGCTCGGTGACGGGAAGCCACGCGTCTTGCTGGGTTTCGTACTCATAGATGACGGTGGTGTCCAGTGGCTTCCACAAGCAAACAAAGATCTGCCCCATGGCTTGGGCGCAGGGTGCCGCCGTGCTCGGCTGCGGCAGGTCTGAGACAAACGTCCAGGTGCTGGAGGCCACATCGTATCTCTCCACAGACTTCAGTGAGATCTTCTCATACTCCCCGCCGATGGCGTAGAGGTAGCCCTCGTGGCCCACCAGCCTGACGTCGTAGCGCAGCTGATGAGGGCTGGGGAACTCGCTCCAGGTGTTGGCGTCGGCATCGTAGCAGAAGCTGCTCTCCACCACCTGCTTGCTGGCCCCATAGACGCCGCCCACAATGTAGATCTTGTTATCCATGGTTGCCATGCCGGCTAGGAATGTGCTGGCGCTCAGCGGCAGGCAGGAGAGGGTCCTCCATGTGTTGGTCTCCTCATCCAGGTAGCAGATGGTCCTGGAGAGGTCCTCCAAGAACTCGAAGGTTGGGGTGTGGGCTCCCACTGCCACAAAGGTGCTGGGTAGGAGGGCTTCCACATAGGCCAGCAGGTCAGTGGAGAGGCAGTCCAGGTAGTCCTCCAGCTCAGTGTAGCTGTCCCTAATGTAGAGCGCAGCGCAGTGGAAAAGGTCCAGGAGACCGAATATGGCAGCGGCTTGATATAGCAGGATGCAGTTGTCAGAGTTGATGGAGTGGATCAAGTACTTGGCCAAGGGCTTCACCTGCAGGAAGGCAGCACACTCAACCGCCTGGAAGGTCTCTTCACTGCTGAGGATGGGCCTCTCACCCGCCAGTACCCTCAGCATGGCGAGGAACCCGGCCGCGCTCAGCTCCCCCAGCCCGATCTCCTCCTGCATGCTCTCCCTCATGCCTGAGCGGAAGAGGGCACGGAAGTACTCGCTGCTCTCCACCAGCAAGGTCTTCTCCACCCAAAACGACTGCTCCTCCACCCGGATACGCACCCGCTCCGGGGGCCCTGTCTGGGAGCCTTCCTCCTCCGGGGTCATCCTCACCCAGGGTCTCAGTGGCTCTTGGGGGGTGTGGGGCAGTACCCGATGCTCCTCTGTGCCGCGTCCTGGCGCAGCCCCCTCCTGCCTCCACCACCCTTTGATGCCTTTGCTGCACCCGGCGGCCGCCACGCCACTGCCTTGTAATATAAATACCTTCAGCTAAAGATAGCTGAGCTCGTGACCAGGGCCTTTCAAAGGCATCTGCCGAGCTCAGCTGCCCACCCAAAACACAGGCAGGGCTCCAGCGTCACCAGCCGGCCCAGGTCACAGCGGAGATGCCCAGCTCTGCCACAGCTCTCCCATGGAGGATGCTGTGCCGTGCCGGGGGAGATGGGTTTTGCTCGCCCCACTCTCGGGCGTCCTCCTTGTGATGCCCTAAAGGGACGGTCCCTACCCTGGGGAGGGCAACACGTTTGCATGGCTGGGAAGAGCATGTTGCCGCACTATTATTTTTTTTCCCTTAAAAAGTGGGGTTTACAGCCACAGGGAGGTAACCGATGCCAGCAAATCTCGGTGCTGTCCAAATCTCGGCCATGGGAAAGGGGCTTTTCTGTCCCCTGAACATGGCCATGGGCAGGGAGAGACCTTTACGGGGCCGTTCCCTTTGCGACCCTCCCCAGGGAGGAGGCATCGAGCAACCCAGGCAACATCCGTCCTGCATGCAAGGAGCCATAAACCAGCTTGTGCTTCATCTGAGGATCCTGTGGTGAGGAAAATGAACTGCAGCAACCTCTTCTCGCCAAAAAAGTTCCCTCCGGCCACAAGGCTCGCCCCGCTCCCCATTAACACCCAGCTCAGGGCAGAGACAACCCCCCTGTGACTCAGGTAGAGGTTGACGGTGAAGAAAAGTGTTATTAGCGGCACATTGCTTGTTTGTGTGCTATTCACAGCTTCTTCTGGGTAGAAATCCCATTACACCTCTACCACGGGGTGCCAAGGAGGGCCAGCAACAGCACTCACCCGGGCGGTTGCTCCCTGAGTCTCCCCATCACCACCTGCAGCTGGTGTTTATTTTTGATGCATAATTTAACCCAAGCAGCCCACCCTGTTGAAGGTATTTTTTTTTTTCCTCCCTCCTTAGCCCCTCACCCCAGCAGCCGGGAACTGCTGGGGCACCATGTGACAGCAAAGCCATTGTCCCAGGATCATGGCCCCAGCAGGTTCCCCTCCCCAAAATCTCAGTTTAGGGGAGAATGTGAGAGCTTTGCACTTGTGTTACTGTCACTGATCCTTATGTGTATCCAGCTTAAGATACCACATTTAGCTCCGATTGCTTTTAAGCATCCTTGACCTGTGTCCAAAGGGGGTCTGGGGTTCCCCCAAGGGCTCTGCTTCTCACAGGGGCATGATCCCCATCCTCCCCACCCTCCCCATCCTCCCCATCCTCCCCATCCCTGGGGCTTGCAGGGACTTCCACACTCCCAGACTATTTTGGGAGGGTTTAAAAATATCCTGCCTGCATTAACGGGCAATAATCCCAACGGCACAGCAGCCCTGCGTGGCCACGGAGCAGCCTTCACCCCCCAGCCCCGGGTATGGCCCCCCATAGAAACCCCTCGGGGCCAGCCTAGGGGCCGTATCCTGCGGTCCCGGGTGCTGAGCCCCATCCCAAATGGCTGCGATTGCCATGACAACGCCGACTTCAGCCTCCGCCACCTACTCGGGCTCAGAGCCTGCTGGGTGCCGGCTGATGGCTTGGTGCGGGCAGCGGTGAGTACTCCCTGCGCTCCCCTTTTCCCCTCAGGATTGTGTCTTTTGGGTGGAAAAAGGGGGCGTTTTTGTCGCCCTGCAAAGCCTCTGCCGGCAGCAGAAGATATCTGTGCTTAAACGCAGCCGAAGGAGCCGGGCAAGCGGTGGGCAGGGTGGCTGTACAGGCAGCATCGCTCCCGAGTGCCGCTCCCGCCTGCAGGAGGTGTAATGAGCGCACTGGCCTCAGCCAGGGGAGCGGGACCAGGCTTTTGCTTGCTGCGAGGACACGGCGAGGTGCGGGGGGCTCGGCGATGTGCCAGGGACGTGGCGAGGAGACCGCTGAGCGGAAGCATGGTGGGTTTTGGGCTGGGGGTCCCTGCCCAAAGCCCCGGGAGCTGGGGGGGGCAGTGTGCGCCCTGCCGGGGAGACCATCCTCGGGGCGGCCGAAGCAGCGTGTCCAGCCCGGCGCCGGCGCGGCAGCTTTCCTTACAAGGAGTTTGGCTGGGGCCTGAGCGGCAGGAGCCGTGCTCGCCTCCGCCTGCCTCATTCATCAGCAGCCCCAGCGGCGCAGGGGCTGCTGCTCCCCCAGCCCTGGCCCCGGCCTCGGCGCCCGCACACCCCGGCGAGCCCCTCGTCTCCTTCAGCAGCGGGTTTTAAGGTGGGAGGTTGCATTTCTTTTCTCTTTCTGGGGTGAGAAGGGTGGGCAGAAGGCTGGGGGGGGTGGTGTCACTGTCTTTGCTTGGGTGGGGTGCTGACTGCCAGCGTGGGATAGTGATGCCGGCCGCCCTGGCTCCGGGATGCGGATGGAGGAGAGCGGATTCACCCTCCCCGGTGCCGCTGAGCCCCCCTTTCCCCTAGGCTGGGGCACCCCAGGAGCCAGGCAGTGAGAAGGTCTCCATCCGGTACGGCACCGGGTGCCCCACGTCCCCGCTGCTCTCTCCCGCAGGACAGAGGATGTCCTCGATGTTCGGCAAACCCCGAGCCGGTGGCGAGCGGCCGCCCCAGAGCCCCCTCGCCGAGTGCAACGTGGCCATCCTGGGGTGCCGAGGGGCTGGCAAGTCAGGTGAGATGGGTGCCCCACCGCCACAGGGATGGCCGGGCATCAGGGGGGTGCCGGTGCTGTGGGGGGGACACCCGCCTCACCCACCTCTTTCACCTCCTGCAGCCCTGACCGTGAAGTTTCTAACCAAGAGGTTCATAAGCGAATATGATCCGAACTTGGGTAAGACGCTTTCTCTGCGAGTGTTTCCCCTCGGTCGTCCCCCATGAGCTCCCACGGAGCATCCTTCCACCTCCTGCGTTTCCCACGAATATGGCATTTAAGGGAAAAAAACCAAAACCCAACACCCCAAATTGCATGAAAAACAACGGAAGGGCTGGATTTGACCCAAACATGCCTGTAAAAACAGAGGTGAAAGCAGCGCTCTCTCTGCGGGCATGTCCCATGGGAGAATGTTGGCTCCTCGCATCAGCCCAAAGAAACTGAAAGCCGAATTACTGGGGGTCCTCGGGGAGCATCTCATGCCTCCTGCTCGCTCCTGCGGGTGCCAGGCAGGGGAAGGGCTGGGGGAGCAAGCGGGGGCTGCAGAGCGGGTGGCCCCGGGGGCTGTGCTTTGCAGCAGTGGTTGTGGGCATTTTTTTTCCACTCATTTTGAGTAATTAATAACTATTTTCCTAGGCCTGGCTCCAGGGCGCAGGGAAGAACCATAAATGATTTATTGGGGACATTAGGGAGATACGGACTTTGTCCAGGAACCAACTCCAGCCCCTAATAACTCAGCGACTCACAGGAAAGAAGGATAAATCCTTTCCTCCTCAGATCTTTTTGGGGAATGTGGTTTCATCTTCCCACGTCAAAACCTTTCCGAAACACATCCATTAGGACCCAGCCGGGAGAAGGCATCTTTCGCCCGGGGAAATGGCTTAGCAGGTCTCCCTGCTTGCCCTCCTTCCAAAAGAAAGGGGTACTCCTTTTGCCTGATTTATTGGGAAACAGCCCCTGTGTCAAGCCCCCAGCTTGCTTTATCTCTCCAGGTCGTGGCATTTAGATAAGGGCCGAGCCCCAGGCGCAGTGATGGCCATGCTGGGCTCCTTCCCCTCCCTCCTTCTCCCGTGGGAGCCCACGCTTGCAGCATGTAGGGGGAAATAACTGCTCCCAGCCAAGCCTGCCCAGCAGCATCATCACCAGCCCCCCAAAATAACATTGTCTCAGGAAGGAGCGAGGTGGGAGGCATCAGTGGAGGGTGCGCCTCAACAAGGGCTGAGGTTGCTCCACGGTGTCCCAAGCATCCAGGGTTTTTCTTGGCTTTGGAGAAGATGGGGCACCCCAGCCCATCCTCACAACTGCCCTTCTCCTTGCAGAGGACACCTACACCTCAGAGGAGCTGGTGGACCAGCAGCCCGTGCTGCTGAAGGTGATGGACACCGCCGACCAGGTGAGGCACCAGGGCACCTCTGGTGCCAAACGCCCGGCTGGACCGAGGCTGGACCACAGCTCAGCTGCTCCTCTCACCCCCAGGATGGCCCCGGGAACTGCGAGCGCTACCTGTGCTGGGCCAGCGCCTTCCTCGTTGTCTACAGCATCAATGACAGGAAGAGCTTTGAGGGCTGCCAGAGCTACCTGGAGGTCCTTGCCCTGCATGCGAGGGGCTGCCAGCGCCGCTGCCCCGTGCTCCTGCTGGGCAACAAGCTGGACATGGAGCAGTACAGGTATCGGGCGTAGGGCAAGGCTGTCTTTTCCTGGTGGGGGAGAGGTCACAGATCCCCCCCCATCCCTCTGGCTGGGATGCAAAACCCAAATATGCATTTTTTTTGTGGTTATTTCCACCCCTGTCAGTATTTGCCACGTCCTCCCACATCTCCGAGGTTCCTGCTCTCCTGCCTGGAGGATGATGTGTTTATTTTGAGCCCATTGGTATTTTCAGTGGGATGTTTTTTGGCTGCGTGGTAAGGCAGCGTCACTGTCCCTGGGCACGGCTTGAGCCTGCTCCAGCTCCTTGCTCCCTTCTGGATGTGCCCATTCCCTGGAGCCCGTTCTCACTCCATTCCCGCTGCCAGGACTGGTTGTCCCCGGTGTGTTTTTCTGGCCTTTTGTGCTGCTCTGGGGCTGTGCTGAGTGTTGGTCCCACGGGTCCTTGAGTCACGTGCGTTGCTGAACCCCCCCCATGTATTGCCGAACCTCCCCACGCTCCCAGCACGGATTCTGGCAGGAGGCTTCCCCCTCCCCACAGTGAGGACCTGCCCCATCTCCTCTCTGCTTCTCAGTGCGATGCCATCGCATCCAGCCCCCTGTGTCCCTGGCACACATCCCTACTAAGCCTTCCCAGCACGGGAAGTTGCATGATTCCCCAGGGACCTGTGCAACCCGTTACTTTGGGATTTCGGGAAAGGCAAAACCCTTTTGGAACCATGTCCCCTGCTTGTCCCAGGATGGGGGACGAGCGGGTGCTGCCCTCGTCCTCGCCAGGAAGCAGGCACGGGGTGTGGGGTCTATTGCTCCCCGCTTGCACCCCTCGCTCCCCTTTTCGGGTGGTTGCAGCACCCTGAGGGATGCTGCACCCGTCCCCTCCGCTCTCACCAGGCAGGTGCCTGCAGCCGAAGGGATGTCGCTGGCAAGCAGGTTCGGGTGTCTCTTCTATGAAGTGTCGGCTTGCCAGGACTTTGCAGGGGTGCAGCACGTCTTCCATGAAGCTGTGCGGGAGGTGCGGCGCCAGGTGGAGCGGAGCCTGCCTGTCCGGCCGCTCTTCATCACTGAGGAACGTCCCTGCCCGCCAGTGGCCATGCCGGTCACCCTGCCCACCCGCCACGGCTTGGCCAGCTGCACCTTCAACACCCTCTCCACCGTCAACTACAAGGAGATCCCCTCGGTGGCCCAGGCCAAGCTGGTCACCGTCAAGTCTTCGCGGGCTCAGAGCAAGAGGAAAGCTCCCACGCTCACCTTGCTGAAAGGCTTCAAGATATTTTAGGACGCATCCCTGCGGGCTGTGGAAGGGGCAGTGACAGACTCCCCGTCCCCTGGCTCCGCAAGGGATGAGACCATCCACGACAGACTCACGGGCATGGCAGCAGCCGCTGGCAGATGGTGGCCCCAGTCTCCATGCCGGGGTGAAGCACGTGATGGCAATTTGGTGAGCAGACAGGGTGCCGAGAATCCGAGATCAGCTGTGGCATCATTCTGCCTGCCCTCGCCCCGGCTCTCATCCCCCATGGCCAAGCCCTGCTTCGGTGTTTGCACCCTGTCCTGTCGCCGGCAGCGGGGGCCAGCCCGGCTTTCCGTGCTTATCTGGGCAGCTCCCAGAGCAGCCGGAACCGTGGGCACCACCTGGAGGGTGAGGGCTGTTCCCAGGGCCCCCCAACCGGCTTGGGCACCTGGCACACAGCGATGGGTGGCTGGGAAGGGGGAGCTAATTGTTAATCAAGCACGGAGGCACCCATCTCGTTTATCTCACGGCTCCCCTGTCCGAGCAATAAGTAGGAGGAATTTTTTTTTTTTTTTAATCCGAAGGAGAAAGGTGCAGATATTGTTTCAGCTGACTAAAGGCCTCAGGTGTCCTGAAAGTGATTCCCATGCATCGAAATAAGTCATACCAAAATAGCTGGGTTTTTAATCAACTTTTTACACTATAGTGTTCCTTTTCGAAGGCTTTGCAAGGAGATGCTTCACTGACGGGGACACGCTCTGAAAAGCCTTTGTTTAAAAGACTGACGTATTTCCAAAAATGTCTTAAATTATTTCATGGCTTCTACATGTGCCTGGTGAAGAGCGTGAAGTGAATCCTACAGGAGACCAGGCTCTACCCATGCCCAAGCCTGGGCCAAGGGCTGTGCATTCAGTTTCATTTGCTGTATCAGGTTAAATGTTCGGCTTCTCCCTGGAGTTGCAGTTACTCTGCAGAGTAAAATATCCATGTGTATATTTGTACATATATACATATATATATATATGACCTTACTGATGGCGAGAGAGATTCAATATGGGATTTTGATCAACCACTTTGGAAAATATTTTAATAAAGATGATTTCTGACAAGAACAAAAGCACCTCCGCTTCAGTGCAGCTGTTTTCCTGACAGGACATGACAGCGTGTTCCCTGGCTGACCGCAGGAGAAGCCTCCCACCTCCCACCTCCCGCCCTGGCTTGGCTCCCACCCGTTTGCGGCAGGGGGGGCAGGCAGCATCTGAGGGAGGGGGCAAAGCTGGTGGGGGAGAGAAGGCTGGAGGCAGCCAAGTGTAGCGGGTAAAGACCAACCAGCTGGGAGCTGAAACGGAGGAGGCACAGGCTTGCCTCTAGTCCAGAGCCACTTCTGCTGGTGCAGTTCTGCTGCTTTCTCTCCCTTCTCTCTTCTGTTTCCCCAGGTTAAACTGCAATTTTAAATGTCCATCACTATGAATCAAGACATTCTGATATATTCCTTAAGGCCTAAATGTTTTGACTTCAGCTGCTGTTACATGGCATCCTCAGACCTCTCTGTGTACAGAGACGTGACAGTTCCATCCTTCCACTGGACCACCACTTCTCCTGGTCTCTGATCCTGGGGCACCAGCTCCTGCTCTCCTGGTTTGGCCGGGCTGTATTCCTGCACAGGCATCAGGGCTTGCTTGGCTTCCAGCTCAGCCTGCTGCATGGTTTCTACTTCGCTATACATGTGGATCTTCCTTTTCCTGCAGGGAAGGCATAAAAAGGAAATGCGGAGTGAAGCAGTGAGCCCAGCCCGCATCTGGGGGCAAGTATCTACTCCTGGTGATGGTTATATCCATCTCTTCACACTTTGGCCCTGGGAACACATTAGCTGCTTACGGGCAAACCCTGCCAGCTGCACTGTGTCATGTAAGTGGTCTGAAGCGTTTGAGTACATACAGCCACAGGGTTTACACTTGGCGAACACGCAGCGCAGCACATCACCCAAAGCGAGGCAGTAACACCCAGCAAGCCATCATTAAAATGAGAGTGTGGCAGACTTGTAACGTTAGCTCTTTTTTTTCTCATTTCAAGGTGAAAGGTCTGATCCAGATATAAGTTTTCTTTCTGTAGAAAACAGCGAGTTGCTTCTCAGCTGCAGGGTTGTTGTGCAGCAGTAGAGCCCAGGGGAACATTGTGGGAACACAGGCGGGGAAAGGCTGGGGAGACCTGCTCCAGAGCCCCTGTGTGCCCCTGGACTTAAAGAAGAGCACCTCACACCACACGTGTAATGTCACTTCCCTCCCAGCTGCCCTGTTGGGCTGGGCAGAGCTGTTGCAGATGCTTTACAGGATCCAGGGCCCGGAGAAGTGAAGTGACTTGTTCCAAGTGACACACAAGGAGAGCAGGGAGTCAGGCAAGGTTTTAAAATGAAGCACGGTTCAAAGGGAGTTTGTCTTTGCTCTTCTTCCCATCACTCAGGGTTTGTCCTGCCCTGCATCTCAGCATGCTGCCCTGCCCTGCCAAACCCATGTCTGTCTGCCTGGAGGGGGTCTCAGCGCACCACCACACACCAAAAGACCCCCAAATTTTCCTGTCTCACCTGTTTCGCACAATGTTAATAGCCAGAAGAAGAAGACCCAAAATCATGGCCATGAAGGAAAGCGCAAGAACGGAGTAATTCCATGTTGATGCTGGGGGAAAGCACAGAGAGACAGCATTAGCATGCACAGGGCAGTGTGACCCACAGAGCCCAGCCACACGTGGTCTGAGAATACCCAAGGTCAGAGTGCCATGGCTTGGCTGCAGGATGAGGGCAGAAATGCTGGTGTCCATCTCACCACCCAGAGCAGAGCACCCACGTCACATTTTTGGGGATAACCTCAGGCAACTCTCCCTCCCTGGGCAGGAGACTTACACAACTGCTTTCTGCTGCTCACAGCCCCCCCACCTCGGGCTCTGTATCTCTCATGCTGACCACATCTGCCACACATGGCTTTTCAACCTTTTCTGGGAGCTGTGCGCGAGGGTGGGAGCAAGGCTGAGAGCTGCAGCATCCCACCATGATCACTGCTAGAAGGGCCCCTCTGCTCTGCAGCCTTTCTCGCCACTGCCACACTCAGGCAAGTAGGTTTTGCCTTTGAACACCATCTGGGGTGTGCAGCACAGATGGCAGTGGATGTTCTGTCCTTCATTTTTGCAGCTTTGAACTTAATCCTCGGGGCGCTGACCTGTTCCTATCAATCTGCTCTCTCCACCACTGGTCATCCCAGACCTTTGCTCTCTTGGCAGGCTATGCCTGCAAAGAGGCTGATTCCCTCTTTGGGAGAAGACACTATCTCAGCAAAGCCTCATGCCTGTCTTCACCCATGGCCTGCTTCTTCTGGAGGTGAGACTGAGGGTTTATGTATCTGGGGTAAGTCACTTCCTTGGGTAATTCCCTAGGGCATGTCCATTAGGCAGGAGGGTTGACAGCCAAGGACTGTTTATCTCTTTCAACTCTCAACCCAGGAACGTCAATGGGACTTACAGTCTTCTCTGCGGAAAAACCAGAGCAGCTCCTCCAGCTCTTCTGGATCTACACCCAGCGTAAGGGTTGCATTGCCTGCTGTGTCATCATACATGTGTGTGCTGGCAAGGGCTGCAGGGAAGTACCTGTCTTGCTCTGCCTCAGCTGTGGAGGAAAAGAGCAGAAAAATGCAACGGTTGCTCACTGCAATACTTCAGGCTAGAAATGGACTTCCCCTTGGCTCCCAGGGTTGCCCAGCATGTCTCTCCAAGCAGGCAGAACACAGCCGTGAAGGCACAGCCTTATCTCATGCACTGAGAAATGGAGAGCGTTTCTGGCTCACACTGCAGATCCCATTATGGTGGGGCACCCAGGGTTGGAAAGACCCCAGAATGCTGACTGTGCCTTTCTACATTCCCCAGCAGCGTGTGTGTGGCACATACCTGCTTTCTCCTTGCACACGCTCCTGTCTGCAACATCTTGCCATTGGGCCTTGAGGCCTCTCACTTTATCGAGAGCGACTCCTTTCCTGTTTGCCACCAGGTAGCCCTGGCTACTGCCCACTGGAGAGAGCAGCAAATTCAAGCAGTCCCAGCTTGTGTAGCCCAAGCTGCCACAGAGACTTGTCTGCACTCTGTTGGCCCCCACCACGGACAGGCAGCTCTGTGTGCTGTGATTCATCAAGGAATCACCTTGCCAAGACCAGTCCTGGAAATCTGACTCTGGATTACAGTCCTCCAGCAATAAATCCCCATTCATTGGGCTGGCTTGTAAACACAACTTGACTTTAGCATTTTTCATCAGAAAAGCTTCAGTGTCTGCAAAGAAACCAGCACGTGAGTGTGGCCACCCCCTAAGCACAGGACATATACACACACAGAGTATATAGGGCAGATGGGAATGACACCCAATTCTGGAACTGGGAAATCAGCGTAGGGCAAAAGGCATTCAAGAGGCAAACTGTCTCCAGGCCAGCTTCTCTCTGCCACGGCTGCTGAGCTCGTAGCTTGAGCTTTCCCTAACCCACACTTCTCAGCAAACATAGCTCAAGCACATCCTTTTGGGTGGGTCCTGGGAAGCCCAGCTAGACTTGCCCTTGCGACCAGTGCTGAGCTCTGTTTGAAGCTGTATCTGTAGTTGTTCCCTGGAGAAGAGATGATGGTAGGCTCCTCTCCTAGACTTGAGCTCTGCTGGGCCCCTTGGTGTGCTGGCCGATGCCAGCCTACAGTGCCGTGCAGCCTGGCCCATGCTTAGCCCCCTCCTGCTGATTCTGGGAGGTGGGAGGCTGCTCTCCTGGGTTGCTCCTAGAGGCAGAAGAAGCTCAGACCCTTTGGTGAGCCTCATTGCTGCTTTCTGCTTTCCCTCTGGGGACAGACACTCTGATGTCCTGCTCCAGCTGGATGAACTAAGAACTGTCTCCAATGTCTCCATTCCGGGGGAACCAGAAGGGGAAGGGTTTGGGGCTCAGGTCTGTCCAGTTTGGCTGTCTAACCTTTTAAGCTTCAGTGTCAGCTGAAACATCCCTCTGCACAGTGGAGGTGCAGATAGTCCCAACAGACATTGATATTGGGTTTAAAAAAAATCAAATCTCTGTAAGTTAGGTGTCTTCCTTGGTGTCAAAGAGAATGCAACAGTGCTGTAAGCACAGGCTTAAGGAGCAACTTTCCACATGGTTGAGTCAGGCTGCTGCTGGTGTATACTGAGGAAAATGGGTCCATGTAGAGGAAGAAACCATATTTCTAGAAAGTTAAGGTCTTTAATGCATGCCTTTGCCATAATACTATCTGTACATGTTTGCCCTCAGCCAGTGAGGCATTCATAAGGTCATACAACAATGCTGGAAACTCTTGCACGTGTACATCCAGCTCCCATGACCCCACCCTGCAGACCATGTCTTCGTGTTGTAACCCCTGCTGAGCCTGGTGTGGGTGAGAGCCTGGGAAGAGACACAGCCTCAGCACGTGTGACCTACTTCACCCACACCGTTATCCTCCAAGCCAAGACTCTACCTTGCAGCAGGAAAAATGGGATTATCCAGAAGAACTTCATATTTGTATGTGCAGCTGCAATGGATCACGCCTTCACTGGTGTTTCTTCAGCGCGCAGATGACTGGGAAAGAGAGAGAGACAAGAGCTGAGGGATAACCTCGCAGCATCCTCTGCTAGCTCCCATTGTACAGTGCCACTGGTTTTATCAGTGGGAGCCCTGAAAGTTACACGAGTTATTACTCAGAGGGACTGGAGACAGCAGGCCAGCATGTTTCTCCTCTGCTATCTACAGTAGATGACAGGAGACAAAAGCAGAGTGATTATCTTTTAAATTACTCTGTGCTCATGCTGATTCCCCTCCCTGCTCCAGCTCTGTGTTCAGAGAGGGGATCTGATGTACCTCTGCAGCTGTGGCACTGTTTTCTTCTGCGGATGTGAGTCTGAGCTGCCAGGACAGGGTGCAGACAGACAGTGATTCTGGGAGCCATTGACGTGATAGCAGAGTGGCTCTGCCACAGGGTCTGCTGCCTGGGGTTGGACCCCTTGCCTAGGTGACCCCGTGCAGATGTGAACTCGGCTGCTGAGAGCCAGCCCCTCCCCAACTGTGCTCCCCAGTCACAATCCTTAGAGAATACATACTTTGTGGACAGTGACTACCTGCTGCCAATCCATGGATGGCAGAATAAGGGTGTGGAGATGAGGAGGTGAAGGGCTCAGCTCCAAGAGGAGGAAAAGCCGGCTTGTCATGGAGGCAAAGGTATCTCCCATCCCTCAGAGAAGCAGAAAGCTCTTCCTTGACCTTTAGTCCCTCATTTGTCAGTGGCATCAATCCAGCTTTTATGGCTGCTTGTCCAACTCAGTTCTTCAGCCTCCTCTGGAGTGACCTCACCTGAGCAGAGGGTTCCTGTCTGTCCACTGTGAGTCAGTTTGAGATGGTTAGGTTGGCTGTCCCCAGCCCACTGCTCAGCACTGCTCTCTGGCCTCATCTGAACTGTCACTCACAGGTGAATGACATCGCAAGACACACGCGTCCCTCAGACAGCTGGCCCCGCAAGCCATTAATTATTATATGAAGACTTAGACTTTTACAACCGTCTGATACTCTCAACTCTTACCTGCCTTTGTAGTGTGGCCTGGCACTGTCTGAAGCTGTTCCCTGGAAATTGCTCATGAGTACATTCCACCGTGCCAAGCGTGTCAACGACACCACCGCTGACTCCTCAGGGAAGCATTTGTCCTTTCCGTTTCAGGCCCATGGTTTGCTCTTTTTCCCCCCCCCCCCCCGCTTCTCAATATCTTCACAATTCAAAGTTCACATTTTATAGTCAACCAGGCATGCAGGCTTGCTCCCTGCTGCCAGAAACCCACCTGTTAGCAATTCTTTGAGGACAGGACTCTCAAATACATGGTCCACTTAAACTCTGTATTTCAGAAGATATGGGTAAAGCTGCTCCCTGCCGTTAGGTATGCCAATTACCTTACCATCCAGGTAAGCTTTAGCTTATTCACATGGATCACTCCTCAGAAAGGAGGAAATAAAGTCTTGGTGCCAGTGAAATCAAGTTACAAGTCTGCTACACCCTAATAAAAAGTGCCATTTGAATGTGTTAAATTTTGCTGTGCAAGGTTTCTGTCTAATCATTTGCTTGAACAGGAATATTTGACATGCATGTTGCTGATTTTCTCCTAAGGTGTTTCATAACTTGTTGGCCACCTCCTGGTGTCCTCAGTAAAGCTGCCATGCACAGCAGGGATGCTAGAAAGGTGCTAGAAGTACTTCACTACTTCATAAAGTAGTGACCGCCAAATCTCCTCCAGACATGGGAGGCTGGACGTCCTCAGGTACAATACAGTAGCAGAATGGATATTTATCGTGCATTAACAGGAAATTTAGGTAAAAGACTTTAAGGGAAACCCCTGTTATTTTAAAGTTCTTTTACATCTACATCAAACTGACCAAACTAGTTTGGAAGTTTCATTCATCAAAGCTACAAAACAAAGTGTTCTCGGGCCAGTTATCTACCCCAGCAGAGAGCCTGAGCAGGATCCAGAACACTGCCTGCATCACCAGCTTCCCCAGTAAGGAAACTGTGAGTCCCACAACTGGACTGGACATACTCTGGGGAGTTTGGATCTTCCAGCCTGAAAGAGAGATTTTTTAAGTCATCTCTTCCAGCTTCCCCCACACAGCTGCTCTGCCCCACTGCCCACATCCTGGCATGGGTGAGCACTGCTCCACCAAACAAGCTGAGAGAGCATGGGTGATGTCTTCTCCATTGCTCCCCTGCCTGCACATCTCAGCAGTCACTCTGGCTGCTGTTGGATGGGGATGAGCCCTTAGATCTGGGCCTTAGACAACTCTAAGCTGTGGACTTTGGTCTCCTGGCCCTGTGAAGACACCCAACACCCTTCTGAGGTTGCTTCCCAGCTTGGATACAACACGGGAAGCTCAGATGAGAGAAAGCTTGTGCATTTTATGCTTGTATGGAAGGAAGTAGAAAGAACAAAGAGGCCAGCACCTCTCAAGGAAACATTTTACCTGTGTTATTTTGAGTTTACATTTACACCTGAACAATTTTGTAATTTCTTTCTTTTTTGCAAATGGGATTTTCACATCAAAAGCTGCAAAATTTATGTGCTGTGTGTACTTCAGGAACAAAGAGTCACTCGCCAATGCTGTCCCAAATCCTCCTGTTCAAAACCATGATCTGTGGACTTTGGTGGCATCCAATGAAATCTCAATACAATACAGAAAAATGGCAAGTGACAGCTTTTTGCTCTACATATTGATCCCAGCACTTACATGGTAAAATCCTTCCTCATGATGGAAGCCCTTGGAGATCTGAGACTCATCACACACACAAGGCAGAGCTGAAGGATCGGTGCTCTAAAGGTTGGAATAACCCGGTGAAGGGCCTGTCCCATGTGGGAACACGCACGTCCCCAGCTGCATGTGGACTCTTTCCAGCCAGGGCACAGCACACTGTGCTGGGAAAACAGCATGTGCTTTGTATGTTGGTTTTTATTGGGTCAAATACTCGAGGCTGCTTACCAAGCCAGATGTTGCCCTCACTCTGAAAATGAGAAATCTTGAGATACTTGTTATATTGATATAAGTAAAGATGGGGAAAAAAAGTCTTCTGGAAAGACCATCAAGTACAGCTTCTGTTAAGATGATAATGTTCCTCTGGACACTCTACTCAGGACACAATATGGGGCAATGCACTTATAATGTCCCAGTCTTTGTAAAAGTCTCCTCTTGTCATCCAGGCTCTCTCTGTGGTGGTTATCTTATCTTAACTGATTGTGTTAAAATATGTTAGTTGTTCCAAATATGTTATAAAAGTGGGATGCCCTGTCTTTGGGATTCATAGAGGATATACAATGGCACACTACAGAGATACAAATGGATGGGTTAGTTTATAAAAGTACATTAAGGACTTGGTTCAATTAAAGAACACAAGAAAAATGTTTAATATTGAGCATACCAAAGCAAGAAGGCACTCTTTACTATTTTTTAACCTTTGTAAAGTCAAAAGTTAAAGAGCAAATCTGAATTATATTAAAAATTTTCCTTTGACTGCTTTCCAGGCTGTTTACATGCAGGAGTTATCCCAGCCTGCTTCTCACCTGTCATTCAGTCTGCCCTTAAATAAGTTATGCAGCCTTTGCTTAAAATTTCCAAAGATTCGAGCTTTCTAACTGAAATAAATAAATAAGCTTTTCTTTACAGATAGCTATAAATTAACCCAACAGCTACTGCACCAGGAAATGTCCGTTCATCTCCGCTAACTCACCAGAAACACGCAGTTCCCAGCAGAGAAGAAGCTACATTTCTTCTTCAAGCCCTGCCGTCTGGAGCTGTCTCCTCTGAGCTCCCGTCCACGCCTTACTACAGTGACAAGGTTGCCTCTCCTCCTACTCTGGGTATGCTACCAGCTGTGATTCATTCTGCTCCTGAGTCATGTGTGAAGGCCAGACCAACAGATGAGGTTCACTCCAGCCCCTGAAAAAAAACACACCTCTTTAGTGGGTCCATTTACAGCATGAGGTGAACGACCTTTTCCCAAAGAATGAACTGTAGGAACTTCCAGCTTATTTGCTCAAGCTATCGGCATAATCAGTATTAAAAGAGTATGCCAAGTAGGATGACACTCAGTAAAAAGTTACCCTGGGGTTAAAATAAACGATAACGTTCACTCCGCCTGGCTCAGTCCTCATTGCATAAAGGAAGCATGTCCTGATAAAGCAGATACTAGCACCCCCGCCCCCCCTTTTTTTTTTGTGAATGGTCATTCTAAGGCTCTCAGAGCAACTTACAAGAGCAACTGACTTCCCAGACAAAGCACAAAGCACACTTCAGAGATTTTGCCATCCCTGTTTCACAGGTACTGGTAACAGCTAAGTCAATAGACTGCTAAGAGGCTTTGCAGTGCCCCAAGGCTGATGTGCTGTCTTTTTGTGCCAGCCACTTTTGGAAAGGAGGATCCCTCCTCCCTGAACTACCTGATCCATGGGTGGAGCTGCATACCACAAAGCAAGCTAGACACCTCTCAGTAGTGGGCTTGGAGCACACAGCTAGCACTGGTTAGCTTAAGCTTAATGGGAGATGGGTATCCTTATGTTCATCCTGTTCTCAGTGTTTTCCAGCTTGAAATAAAGTGACTTTGGCATTGAAGCCGTGTTCCAGTGTGATTAATCCTTTGAATCCCACCTCACATTTGGTTCAGAGCTTGCCCCTGTGAAATATCACCCAGCAGACATGCATACTCCCCAGAGATGTTTCACTGTTCGGCATTGGCCTGGCAGGGATCGGATGGGAGCTCACACTCAGAAATGCATCCTGCAGGGAAAAAGAGCTCCTCTCTGCTGGGGGAGGCAGGTTGAGATGGGACATCACATCACACTGTAAATCGTGCTGTTTTTCCTCCTCATTTCAAGTTAGATCATTTAAAAAGTGCCATCACACTAGGGGATGCTTTTCTAGAGTGTCTTGGTGGCCTTTGCATTGCCAAGGAAGGGGTACAGTGACAGGCCAGCAAGCAGCAAGCTACACAATCAAATCCTCTAGATCACTGCCTTTAAGAAAGGTGCAAAGAAAATGCCTGGCCCCTGTAGTGCAGTCTCTGAGTAGAGGGATGGACACATTAGCCATGGTGAAGAGGTGGCTGTATCTGGAGAAGGGTGACTGCAAAGCCCCGGAAGGTCCCTTTTCATCCCAATTTCCTACATGGCTTGATTTATGTATCTATATTTTAATTAAAAAAAATAAAATTCCCCAACTGCTGTGTGGAAGCTGGGCGTGATGGTATAACCCACATTTCCCTCAACTGAAGCCTCTGAAAGCAGGTGGAGAATCCTGATCAGAGGCGACAGAGTGACTGCAGCCCCTGGGAAGTCACAGGCAGCTCGGCAGCTCCGCAGTGGCTATTTGGGTCCCGTCCTGCCTTTGGTCTGTTTGCAGAAGAGCTGTCCGACAGCTCCTCTCACACAGGAGATCCGCAAAGGCCTACTGCAGCCCTTGCAGTCCAATGTCCCACAGCCAGTGGTGAAGTGATGGGCTACCTGTGTTCGCCAGGGTGCAGTGGTGTGGGTCAGGGACAAGCCTTAGTGCACCAGCACAGCAGTTCCTATTTCATGCCCAATACTCCACAAAAAACTAGTCGCAGGATGCAGGCAGGTGGCCGAGATGCCTTTACGACTCAGCGTGAGACACACGGAAATAAAACCAGTTTCCCACTGGTTAGAGTTGGCCCTTGTGCCCAGTAATCCTCTCCTTCAGAGGACTGTGAATGCACTCAGGAGCAATCTCTTCAGCAATGGCTGTGTTTTATTTCATATTTCCCTTGACAACACTGGCAGTCTTTAACGAGAGATATCTTTTTACTTCTTGGAGATACTTTCAGTGTCTTTGGCTAGGAAGCAAAGTGGAGATAGGACGTTGATTTATGTTTTGCTTCCTTCTCGGATTTGTCTTCACTACTCTTAGGAAGAACTTGTCTGACCTTGGTGTTTTAATTTTGCTTATCTTTTTTGATCCCTTCTGTGTCTTTGACCTGAAGTGCCTGGTTACAGAATAACTAAACATTCAGGGTTGTTGGTTTCTTTTTTTTTTCCATGTACAAAAGCAGAGGTCAAATGCAGCAGGAAAGCAAGATTTGTGAGCGAGCTTTTTTTTTTTTTTTTTTTTGTGAAACCATCAGATTGTTGCTTTCATTCTGCTGGAAAATTTACATCGAAATAAATTTTCAGTTAAAATACATGTACACTGTGTCCAAGGCGTAATACTAAATAATAGCTGTCATCTGAACTGTACAGTCATATCAGAACTGAGGATGAATTACTTGGGAGCACGTATACTGGAGTGAGTTTAAGTCCACTTCATAAACTTACTGCAAATGAAACATCAGTTACTTCATGTGTAAGTCTGGCAAAAACTCAGCATGGAGTTTCAGTATTTCCAGGAGCCTTAACTACTGGCAGAACTGGGAATCCATCTGCAGGCTTTAGGTCCCCTGATGAGCAGCAGGTGAAGCTCCGCACACAGTGCAGATGCACCACCAACACGTTTAACACTTCCCACGCCGAGATCCAATACCTGGAAATTAACACAGAGCAGCAGCTGGATGCCGGGTTCAAATTCCCAGCTTTTGGGTGGCATTTGGGCCATCCAGACCACGGCTGGTACATCCCTGGCCTTTCTGAAGTGCTGGTGATAAATCCAGGGTTTCACCCAAGACCTCAGAGAGCTAGTAATCGCCAGCATGACACAGGACGTCTCCTTCCAGCCTGCTTTCCAGCAATTGCGCTGTCTGCTTCTGAAAACCCTGAGTATTTTTCAGCATCTGAGATATTATGTGGTCAAATTTTTTCAGCATCTGAGATAAGTGGTCAAATTACACGCTGTGTGGAACACTGCTTCCTCTCCCTTGGGGCCTGATAGCCCTAAGTGCCTGTAATCACTTAGTTACTGCGCAATGACTAATTGTTCCCTGTTTTCCAGCTCCATACTATTTTTGATAAGACAGGCTGCCCGCCTGCCCTTCTCCCCATGTCCGCTTTTCAAGATGAGCTATTCTGGTTGCTTTAATCTCTTCTCACACAGAAGCCATTCCTTCGTCCTTGCTACTCTCTTATTTTTTTTTTTTTTTTACACCATGCTGTTTCATCCATGCACCCTGACATGAGGCGGCTGGAATTGAAGACTATCCTGCATGCGACTGAACTGAGGATTTTCATGGGGATCCCCCAGTAATAGAGAATTAAGTTTTCTGGAGCAATTGATTTCTACATACTGATACTCAGCTAGGAAATTATCTCAGTATTTGGTAGCGTATTCTCCTTTTCTCAGGGTGCAGGAATATAGGCACCTCAGTTAGGATGGCCTGGCTCTTTTTTTTCACCTATAACAGCACTTTCTCATTAGTTTTCCTTTGTTTCTGCTGCTGGAGAGGGAGGCATCTGCCATGTCCGAGAGAAGAAAGCCCTCATGATGGGCAAAACAGATGTGAGAAAGGGAATGAATACTCAGACCTGCTTAGCACAGCACAAGATTTCACTTTCCTGAGTGGTCCTTCCCTCGTGCACCCGCCCAACATAAATTCTGTCACGCAATTTCCAAGTAATTTACATGTTTTCACTAGCATATAGGAAATGTTTCCAGATTCTCACATTCCATGTTTTAGAAATTCCTAGTGTGAAAGACTGTAGGACATACTGTGATTTAGATGCATAGGGAATTTCTGTACGTAATTTACATTAAACGAAAAGCTACACAAATAAACCATCTTCCCATGGGGGAAAAGAATGTTCTTAGTGTAAAATATTTTCACTCTTATGTTATGGGAGAAGACAGTTCTTTATGGGAGAAGACAGTTCTTTAAGTGGTTATTCTGACCCCATAGCTTACAAGAAAACATTCTTTAAATTACAATCACTGTTAAAACAAAGCTGTCCACAGAGCCAGACACAGACACTAGCTTTTCAAAGGCTGCATTGGAGCCAGCAGGAAATCACTGGCTGCGGCGCCAACACCCCTTTCTGCCCCTGACATTTTTCCGCGTTATCTTCGCACTGAGGCAGAGCGGCCAATTCGCGGTCATGAGGGCCAGGGTTACGGGTCCACCGCCACGGGACACGCTCGCTCTGACAGCACCGACGCTGTGGAGAGTCAGAAGCCAGGGCTGGAGGCCGCGCTCGGGGTGCGCCGCCGAGACCGGCTCTGAGGCAGAAGACTGGCTCCATCGCTCCCCGAGACCGCTGGCCCTTCCCTCCGCGGGGTGCTACCGCCTCGGGCCCGGGAAGCGCTGCCCGCGGGGTAGCACGCTGCCCTGAAGCGCAGCTCGGCCCCTGAGGGAGCGCCGGTGCGGGCCAGCCCTGCCCGTCGCTCCCCGCCGCCGCGCACCAAGATGGCGCCACCTCCCTCGGCCCGAAGGGCGTCCGCGCGACACCCCTCCCCCCGCCCCGCCCCGCCCCGAGGCGGGCTCCGCGCGCCTAGGTGCGTCATCGCCCGCCGCCGGAAGCGCCAGGATGCGGGGGCGCCTGCTGCGCGCATGGCGCGAGGGGGTGAAGGCGGCGCGCGGGGCGGCGGGGCGGGCGGGGGCGTCGCCGCCATGGCGGGTCCTCTTCTTCGGCACCGACCGCTTCGCCGTCACCGCCCTGCGAGCTCTGGAGGCGGTCAGGTACCGCCCGCTGGCGGCGGGGGGGCCGGGCCGAGGGAGCCGGGGACGGCAGGGGCTGTGGTGGGAGGGGCGGCCGGGCAC